CATTACCTAATAATTAAAGTTGTTTGTATTCAAACTATGATATCCCACATGCATTACCTAATAATTAAAGTTGTTTTCATTCAAACTATGATATCCCACATGCATTACGTAATAATTAAAGTTGTTTTCATTCAAACTATGATATCCCACATGCATTACTTTGCATTTACTATAATTAAAAAACATCCGAATCATTTTTTAAAGCAGCAACACCCAAAACTTTAATAATTTATTGACAATTCCTTCAATTAAGTCATTGATGTAAATCAAAAAGAGCAAAGTGTGAAACAATGAGTCCTCGGGTTCTCCACTTGTGACATTAATCTAGTTTGGATGAACTCCATTTATAACATAGTTTCTTCCATCCAGCCACTCTTCTATGATCCAACTTATACCCCACATATCTATATATATATATATCATTTGTTTAAAGAGCCTTTTATGTAGTACTTTGTCAAACGCTTTCTGTAAATCTAGATGCATCAAATTCACACCTTTACCCTCAACTACATTAACCTCCTCAAAGGATTTCAAAACATTAATAAGGCAAGATATTCCTTTAGTGGAACCATACCAACTATTCAACAAAATTATAAACTTTGTTAAATGAACTTACAAAGCATCTTTTATCAGACTTTCCACCCAAACTTTTCCCACAACTGATGTAAGACTAATGGCTCTATAATTATTGGAACAATTTTTATCACCTCCCTTCAAAAGAAGGGCTACATTAGCTAACTTCCAATCCTCTGGCACCTGCCCACTATTTAGGGACTGACAAAAAATAGTAGTAAGTGGCTCACTTATCCAATCCTTCAAAATCTTTGGGGAAATATCTGGTTCAGGAGTTTTATCATTCTATAAGTTTCTCAGTTTATTCTTAAGGAGCTCAGAGTTAATCTTGTTATCTAGCAGTTGCTCAGGATGTGGAATGCTGCTTAAATCTTCATTTATAAATATTTCAGAAAAAAAAAAATGTAATAATTTGGCCATCTCGGTCATCAGGTATAAGCCTTCCTGTATCATCTTTCAAAGGCCCTACTCCCATCCTGACATTTTTTTTTTTTTACCCTTAATGTATTTAAATAAATCCTCACTGTTAAATTTTACATTTTCAGTCAACCTTTTTTTATAACTGTCTTCGTCTTCTATAATTCTGTAAATCTTCCATTATTGCAGTTCGATTAAACCTTTAAAATTTATAATGCTTTTTCTCTGATTTTATCCTTTATGCCCTTCCTAAGCCAACCTACACCCACCCTCATTCTTTTATAAGGAACATGCCTATCTTGAATATTTAACACTTATTTTTAAGTATTCCACGTTTGATCAAAAACTCTGCCTAATTAAGTTTCCCAATTCACAACAGATAATTCTCATTTCTTCAAAAATTGATTTTTCGAAATTCAAAACCAAATCTCATTATTCCTTATCTTGATAAGCAGAATAACATCAGACTTAAAACATTGATCACTTACACCAAGATGTTCCCTATTAACCATTTCTGTATTAGAAGTTAACAATAAATCTAAAACAGTATTGTTCCTGGTTGGTTCTCAAGCCAATTGTTGAATAAAACCATCCTGTACAGTTTCTAAAAAACCTGTCTTCCCTCACGATTTTACTTATAACATTTCCCTGTCTATATGCCTGAAATTAAAATGCCTTTTAACATTTCCCTGTCTATATGCCTGAAATTAAAATGCCTTTTAACATTTCCCGGTCTATATGCCTGAAATTAAAATGCCTTTTAACATTTCCCAGTCTATATGCCTGAAATTAAAATGCCTTTTAACATTTCCCGTCTATATGCCTGAAATTAAAATGCCTTATAACATTTCCCGGTCTATATGCCTGAAATTAAAATGCCTTTTAACATTTCCCGGTCTATATGCCTGAAATTAAAATGCCTTATAATATTTCCCAGTCTATATGCCTGAAATGCCTCGTAACTCTAACCTCATTATCAGCTGAATTCTTTATCATACTGTAGAGTTCAATATTATCACTTGAATTGTTGCTGTGTGTGTGTAATCAGCTATGTGCAGTACAAGTAACTTTGTATCAAGAGACATTACAATGTGTTTACAGGTTAGGACAAAAGTTACTTTATATGTCCAGTGCAGTTGATATTATACGATTGGTAACTGTGAGCCAGTGTTTGAAACTAACAAGATAATACTCGTGTTTTACGATGTGGGTTATTATTAGATAAGTTGTCTACCTGCAGGGTTGAAAATCCAGAGTAAGAATGTATCTTTTTTTCTTGAGTGAAACTAGTCACATATTTTACTATTATTATTTTTGAAATTTGCACACATAAACTTGGAACTAATTACTTAAACAGAGGAAAGCTTTTTACATAGAACGTTGCTAGATTGTGAACAGTGTCTTTGTGAAGCCTATCTGTCTGATCACTGGACATAATTAACTTATATATCCAACTCATCATTATATGGTAAACAGTATGTCTTTGTGAAGTCTGTCTGTCTGATCACTGGACATAATTAACTTGTATATCCAACTCAACATTATATGACAAACAGTATGTCTTTGTGAAGTCTGTCTGTCTGATCACTGGACATAATTAACTTGTATATCCAACTCAACATTATATGACAAACAGTATGTGTTTGTGAAGTCTGTCTGTCTGATCACTGGACATAATTAACTTGTATATCCAACTCATCATTATATGGTAAACAGTATGTCTTTGTGAAGTCTGTCTGTCTGATCACTGGACATATTCTGCTCTTACATTTGATATATAAAATATTGATAATGTGTTACACATTTTTAGGGCTAATGTCAGTTATTTCATAAGTATGAATGAAAGGTTATAATTTATGCAGTCATGTCAAAGCAGGAAGGTTTCGTAACTTTTAATACATCTTTAATTTCTGTTAAACTTGAAGTAGCGTGTTTCGTAACTTTTAATACATCTTTAATTTCTGTTAAACTGGAAGTAGCGTGTTTCAGAAAACAGCTTGTACGTACACTAATCTTTGGTCTGTGTCACCCATTCTTAGTAGGTGTAAATTGTATTTCTAAAACGTAAATAAAGAGGAACTGATACGTGGTTACAATGATCTTAAGTTAGTGAATAACCCCATTTTTATGGATACCATCTAATTTTGATACTGTTTACAAAGTTATCGTACGGTTATTAGGGGAGGGAGAAGCTTGTGATAAGCAAATTTTTATTTGTCCGACGTTAGATTGATGTATTCCAAATGTATTGTATTAATTTATTTAAAAAACGTTTGCGAAGTAATTTGCTCTATATTTCTAAACAGGTTCATGAATACACCGGCCAAAAGAAATGAGGCCTACATCCCAACGGAAATTGAACATGTTGCCAATATTGTGACTCATGGGGTGAGTTTAATTATTTTGATTCATTATTTCACTTTGAAAGCAGTGTAAGAATACTGGATATAATCGTTTAAAATGTTTTAATGGAGGGAACATGTCGAATTTTAAAACTTCGACATGAGGATCTCGGACTGTGCAAGTAGTGGCCAAAAAAATATGAATTGAAGTAATATCTCTTAAGGATTCGTCCTTTATTGCACAAATCATAGGTGTCAGTGCCATGGGTGCTGGAGCACCTTCAATATTTATTGAAGCAAGTGCTACTGAGTACCCTGAAACTGTGCCAAAATACACCCAGCATCCCAAGTTATTTGGAAAAGTTGCTGCCAGAGGTCGAAATGCATGTACTCGCATTTGATGAAAAACAGCCTTACAAATGGCAAGGCTGACATGCATTAATACATAGTTTTATGTAGTGTTGGTCATTCTTTTTATACTATTTTGGCCCTCTTTGTATTAATATTAAAACATTTCACTGTTCTGGTTAGCAAGAATGTCGAAAGATGATTATTTAATGACCCAAGACGTGTTTCTTTTGAAAATTTTGAATCAGTATGCCTTCAGTTAATGTTTTCATGTGTAAGTCTTTTCAACGTTGCAGGTTTAGATAAACATATTCCATCAGAAACTGATTAAAACATCCATCAGTAACTTCCAAATGATTGTTTTATCTTTATTTTCGGTGTTCGTTATCCTATTGGGAAGTCACTGGCTTCACTAAGGAGAAAGATGAAATCAGAAATGGCTTGATAAGCTGTATTTATAAGGTTTCTAACAGCGACATATTATTAAGAACAGTTGTTAAGCTTCTTCACAAGCTACCCTCTTAAAAACACACAGGTACAGTTTGTACATATCTGAAAATATTCAGTTGCATGGAACCATGAAGTTCTCACGAGGATCATTCAGTTGCTACATGGAACCATGAAGTGTTTTTGTTAAGGTCTCTGTAGCAACTGATGTGTACATTCTCACAAGGATCATTCATTCTCACAAGGATAATTCAGTTGTTACATGGAACCATGAAGTGTTTTTGTTGTACACATCAGTTGCTACAGAGACCTTATTCTCACAAGGATCATTCAGTTGCTACATGGAACCATGAAGTGTGTTTGTTGTACACATCAGTTGTTACAGAGACCTTATTCTCACAAGGATCATTCTGTTCTATTTTATTAATTACAGTGAACTTTTAATTCTGGGTTCACATTGTTGTAATTCAAAAACTCAATAGTAGTTAACAATTAACATATATTTTATAATAAGTGTTAGAATCATGGTAACACCAAGAAAACATCTTTAATTATGGAGGTTGAAACCTCAACAAAGGTTTAAAAAGAAAACAGGTTTTAACAGAACGTGTGTGATAAAACATGCAGCATACATATATCTAATAATATTGTTAAGAGAGAATATTTTAAAGAAAGGCTTAAGTATTAGTATAAACACCATGTCTTTAAAATAATAAACATTGGGTATTCAGAAGACAACAGAGAGGAGTTGATGTTATTATTTAATGTTGGGTGAGAATTGAGAGACTTTCTTTAACAAAGAGTTTGTAATATATTGTTCCAGAGTCGAGAATATTAAGGTTTTTAATAAGGGTGGGGTGATTGTTATTCTCACTGTCCAGTCAGGTACGAGACTCGGGATGATTAGTTAGCTTTTAGCTGAAATTCCCACGTGCGTATTTGTAGCTGACGTGTAGTTTTACCAATATAGGTAGCTTTATAGCTACCACAAGTGTATTTGTGAATGACCCACGAACACGTAGGGATGGGTAAGAGTATTTTTGGTTTTTAACAAATTTGGAATACTAAATGTAGCTTAATTTTGTGGGTTAATATGTCTGATTATTTTTTAATCATTATTTCGTTATATGTTATGAATTTTGGAAATTTCAGCATGACGAGAGAAGTAGTTACGACAAATATATTACTCTGTTTAGGATATTTAGAACAAGGTTACATTCGAAGGAGCCTAATGTGAAACGGTCGAAATGAATGTATAAGAACATAAATGTTTTCTTATGGTAAACAGATGGGATAAGCGATTGTTGTTTATTATAAATATTCATTTGTGCCTGATCTTCCAGTATACGATACCTGTTTTAATGAACAAAAAAACAGCTTTTTTTAACTCTTACTGTGGTGTTTTGGTGAAGAAGGAACTATTTATCATTCATACTATGATGTTCGATTTGATGAACGAAGAGAAAACAACTTTTTCCATTATTATTACAATAATAATATTGTGAGAATATTAAGTTTAAGAACAAAATGTATATTAATTATGGTGTTACAGGTGCCACAGTAAGTACTAATATTTAGTTTAACTCACATACAACAAGCATCTTGATATCAGAATTGATTGCTCTAACCATCATTTTGAGCTTCTTGTGCACTACTATGATTATAATGATTTACTTTTAATCTTTTATGTGAATTAATGTAATGTAGTACTTCCGATCTTTGCACTTGTATTCCATAAGAAGGTTTTTACTACACAGAATCTTGTGTGTATTTAAATTATTTTACTTATCACAGTACCTGTTTTATCGTGCAGCTCTGGGTGTTACCAAGCGTACTAGGGTTGTTTTTCTTGGTGTACCAGTCGTCCAGCAGCCCTGAGTACATCAGTGCCATTATCTACGGGTTAGCCCTTATTGGTCTGTTCTCTGTGTCAACTGTCTTTCATTCTGTCTTCTACTCTGGACGCTTTAGGTCTGTAAAAGTTGCATCACTTTACTTGTACGATCTGTGTGTGTTAGTGTCTTAAAATCTATTTACGCTAAAACTATTGTAATTAAATTTTGTTTTAAACTCCTAATTATGGGACATTTTGTAATTCATTTACCGTATTTGTGATCCTTTTTATGTTTATGTCAATATTACATCACTTTTGAGCTAAAATAAAAGTCAGTTTGATGAAAATACACGTTTTAATACGAGACCTTCTATGAATTACAGATAGTCATAGACTAGGAACTTTGTTTTTTCTATCTTTAGAAAAATTATGAAAAAACATTTGTAAAAAATACCAATGTTTCAACATAGAGGCTTGAAATATATCGGTTATAGGCTTAACGTGTTATTTCTCTCCTTTAAGACTTTTGAAAGAAATCTTACACCGATGTGATAGAGCCGTGATCTACATTTTCATCGCAGCTTCCTACACCCCCTGGTGAGTTTGTTTTTTACCATTTTTTTTAGATTTTACTAATACAGCATTTAGTCTCCTTTTGTAAGTTAATTATTAGGTCGTAAATGACTCCATTCAGTTACTATACTTTAAGATCATCCTGATAATTGTTTGTGTTTTCTTCACTCATTAGAGAAGTCTTGTTTCAGTTCAAGGCTTGTTGCCGAAATAAATTTTTTTCTTCACAGTAGCAGTTTCTTACTTAGTGGATATATTATTTGTAGAGCTCATTCATAACCTGAATATGTTTCATTTTGCGAGATTGGTTTGTTCGTTTCCAATAGGTTAATGTTGAAAGATTTGGAGCCTGAAGCCTGGTCGAGTGAACTCTGCTGGTTTGTGTGGGTTATGGCCATATGTGGAATTGCGTATCAGAACTTATTTCATGAACGGTAGGTTGCTTTGAATAAATGTAACTTCTGAAATTTTGTTGAGTAATATTTTCATACAGTTAATATTATAAAAGGGTTAAATATTCTTCCAATAAGATCAATCAAGGCTCCTAAAACTTCACTGGTATTGTATCACGTCTACTTGCTTGACAACAACTCCATAGCGATGAGACTTCAGTGATAAAACCCAATATTCAATATACAGTTTCTTTTTTCCTTTATCTTTTCTTTCTTCTTCTTTTTCGAGACCAAAGTTTTTCCTGAATCTTTAAACTTCCAGATTTATTCGTGTACCTTTACGTTCAAGAACGTCTACTCCCATATAATAGGCACCGAAACGATTTTCGTATTTCACAAGGAAATGCTTTGGCTGCAAGTAATGAGAAATTTACAGAAGAGTAAAAAATACCCCCCCCCCCTCTCTCAGTCAGTGTGATTAATCAGTTTCTGTTGTTACATGATAACTTTTTATAAGACACAAAGTTTTATTAGAATTTAAAGTAAGATATATAATATTCTCTTATTTTTTTAGCTCGAGAGTTTTATGTGTGAAGTCTGTCATGAGCTATGCTTGTATATTTTTGAGAGTATTTTAAGTAAAATTAATATAGTACCTGTACCTTAAGGTGTGTAATCTTTATTGTTACAGCTTCCTGCTACTTTGTTTTTTTAGTTGTAGATTGAATGCCGCTTTTTTCACAGAAAACTGAAACTTGTGAAATAAGATTATTCCCGGTAACGAGGATATTCTACTTGTTGCAACAGCTAAAAGACTGAAGAAAAATTGTATAAAAAAATTGGGGATTTAAAAATCTGCAAATAGGGATTGTCAAAAAAAGGTTAGGAAAAAAGGCTGAAGATACTGTAGACATTTACTCAAACTACAAATCCTATTTTTTGGCTCCATGCCGTTACCTAGAATTACATTTGGTGGAGTCAAAGTAGAGATTTGTAGTTTGAGTAAATAAGTTAAAAGATTGAAGAAAACTTGTGCGATTCTTTTTGTTATGTCACGAGATACGATGATTACTCACTCTTTGTATTGTTAAGTACTAAGTAGATAACCTAAGAAATTATGTTATAACCATTTCTGTGACTCGAAGTAGTATATCGTGTTAATTTTGTAATATTTGCCAAAGCTGATTTTGTTAGAAGCACAAACAGTCAGTACGTCTGACCACCCTCAGAAGTTTGATTTGTAGTTTAGTATATAATTTTTAGTGTCTGAGATCGTCTTTATCCTAATACTTACATTCCACGAGTGTTATAATAATTAAATGTGACGTGAAACTAGATATGATGCTGTTACACGTGCTACAAGTATCATGGTAATTAAACCTAAGATGATGGTATTGTTACAGATATAAAACCTTGGAGACCTGTTTCTACCTGATCATGGGGATTATTCCTGCTGCTGCCGTCATGCACATGGTATAGTAGAAATTCAAGTATAACATTCGTAAAGTTTTGATCATTTTTATAAAAACAGAAGCGGCCATTGTGGGTTTTAAAACTTTAGTGTACAATATTAAAATTAGACTGTTAGTTCTCTACGAACTATTCCATTTGTACCTCAACATTAATCACCAGATTAAGATGGTACAGTAACAATCAACTTTATACAAAGGATCTGAAATACAATATTTTTCATACCCTAAAACTTTAGTGTACAATATTAAAATTAGACTGTTAGTTCTCTACGAACTATTCCATTTGTACCTCAACATTAATCACCAGATTAAGATGGTACAGTAACAATCAACTTTATACAAAGGATCTGAAATACAATATTTTTCATACCCTAGAGATTTATTTACTGTGTTAACTATTTTGTACCCTGGTTTTAATCACAGTAGGAATTGTAATGTCCTCTCCTCCCTCAATGGCTCAGCAGTTGGGTTTTAGTACCCGCAGTGGGCAGAGCACATTGCGTAGCTTAGTGCTAACCAACAAAGATATTGTAACATTTCTGAATTATACTAACTTACTGCTTCTCTTCAGTGTGATAATGACACATTTTTGTTTAGGTCTTCAGTTAAAATAACTTTCCATATTCACATAAACTTATCAAAAATATTCTATCATTTTCAGACTTTTATAAAAAACTGTAAATCAATCCCATTACACGTCACAATGACAAGAAAATTAGCTACCAGTTATTAATTTGTAGTAGTCAGTGCGAGATGTAACGTTAATGACACGAAAGATTTTAATGTAATTGAAATCTTTTGGCAT